TAGTTTATTTTTCAAAGGGTGTGTGTGTGCACGCGCATGTCTTTTCTTATACTACCAGTTTATAAATGTTAGGGAATTTATTGATTGCTACACCCATTCATTGTTTCTAGTGGTAATTGACTTGGTGTTAGTGAAGTGGATCAGCTTGGAAGGGGCAACCAGCCACACATTTATGAGTGTTCATATGTTGATTAGAGGCTGAATTTTTGTATGGATTGATATGTGATTATACAACAAAAGACAGAAAACGGTAAATATGTAATTTATGCAAATTAGGGTTTGCCTTGGGGTTGCCAAAAGGCAAAAGGTACACAAGAAGTTGGGAACAAGATCTGAGAGTCTAGGATTTAAATAAAGCCTGCATCTCCTCCAATACTACTTCTGTCAGAATAACACTGGGATCCCTTTGGTTACACTGACATATCCTTGAGGCCTCTTCTACACTTCCATAGAATCCAGTTCAAAGGAGATAATCTGGATTTTATATGGGAATGTAGAAGGGGCCTGAGACTAGCAGATCTCTATCCATATTAAAACAATCATTAGATTGTGCTGCTGGATTTTCAGAAACTTCTGTAACTGCAGCGGTAGATAATAGGCTTGGTTGATCAAAAAAAGGTTCAAAACTCGTTTCAGATCTAGGAGGCACTGGTGGTTCGATTTGGAAGTCAATTCTGAATTTTTCTGAAAAAAGTCGGAACTTTCCGAAACTTCCGAATTGCTTCGTTAGTGGCGGACGCAGTTGCGCAGTATGCGGAAAACAGCAACTGGCATTGGGCAAACTTCAGGAGATTTTCTCTCCCTCATTTTTAGACCAATCCTGATGAAACTTGCTACACTGGTAGAAAACATCCTCCTCTGTCAGCATACCAAATTTCAACCTGTTCAGACTGTCACAGATTTTTAACAATTTTAAAAGTAATTTTAGTAATAATTTATATTACAATAAAAATAAAAGAGCTACTTTCTTGAATTTTATTGAAATGTCAAAATGTTGAAGGAATGGGAGATGTAGTTTTTTGTTGTAATATACAAACGCACGGCCCTCAGAGAGGAGCAACCCACAGCAGTGGCCCTGTGTTGTGACTCAGCTGGAATTTCATTTCTGATGGGGGATGATGGGGTTCAGATTCACAGTCAGGTGCAAAGCAATGATGTCCCTGTGTTAGACGAAGACCAGAAACAACATCATCATCACTTTATATCTTAATTAGTCGCTCTCCACCAAAGTGCTTTGAGCGACTTACAATTTAAAATAGCTTATACACAATATAAAACATTCAATATAAAAACATTACACAATATAAAAACATTCAACATAAAAACATTCAACAGTGACTATTTGGCATATTAGATCTGATTACTTAAATGCACAACCGAACAGCCAAGTCTTGAGCGCCTTTACAAAAGGTCGCAACTCCGACATTGCTCTAATGTATGGAGGCAATGAGTTCCACAGAATTGGAGCATAGGTCGAAAAAGCTCTACGCCTTCCAGATGTGCCTCCCTAGGACCCGGTATGTAGAGGAGATTTTCCTGGGTGGATCGAGGTGACCACTGATGGGAAAAGGAATGAGGCGGTCCCTAAGATATAAAGGTCCTTGGCCATTTTGAGCTCTAAATGTCAGGATCAGTATCTTGTAAGAGATCCGATGTTCTATTGGTAGCCAATGCAGTTGTTGCAGAATTGATGTAATATGGGATCTTATAGATGATCCTGCTAGCAGCCTGGCCGCTGCATTTTGAACCATCCGAATCTTCTGAGTTGTTGACTTCGGAAGTCCAGCATATAAGGCATTGCAATAGTCCACCTAGTGGTGACTGTTGCGTGGATTACTGTTGCCAATGCTTCTACCGAAAGGTAGCCAATTTCCTTGCCTGGCGAAGATGAAAAAAGGCCTGCTTACTTATGGCAGTGATCTGGGCCTCCATCGTCAGCGATGAATCCAACACAACCCCAAGGCTTTTAACAGTGGCAGACGGAACCAGAGCTTCTCCATCGAAATCAGGCAGAGACTGGATTAATTCTGGGGGCTGGCCGGGCCAGAGTATCTCCGTTTTTGCAGGATTGACTTGCTCGTAGCCAACTCATCACTGCTTCCAAACACAGCTTAAAGTTCTCAGGAATCACGTTCTCCCAGGTTCGAGACGCAAGAGTAGCTGGGTATCATCTGCATACTGGTAGCACTCTATGCCAAAGCTCCGCACCAGTCCAGCAAGTGGCCGGACGTAGATGTTAAATAACAGGGGCGAGAGGATAGCACCCTGGGGAACTCCACAGCAAAGGCAGGAGTTCAGTTGTTTCCCACAGCAAGGGATGACACTCTTGATAGTGAAACTACTGAGAGCCAGGTGCATGATTCAGGAAGGGAGGACAGTTCTCAGCCAGATAGTTCTCAGCCAGATAATGAGGGGAAAAGCACTAACGAGGGAATTGACCTTGATGAAGCTGGAGGATTAGATTGAGCTGATCGGTTGGAATTTACGGTTTGAAGGAGTGTTAGGATCACCAGCAGGGGAGAGAGGGAGGCTCGGGCAATAGGAACGCCTTCATGTTCTTCAAAGAGTATTAAACAGGCTGTTTGAATATGCCTCAGTGTCAGAGCAACTCCCCGCTTCAACCAAGAGACTTTGGATTCACCTTGCAGCTTTCATGTTCATGTTTTAGGACTTTGTCATGTTCTCATGGGACTTCGCCTTGCCTGTGTCTTCATGGATCTTGTTTGCTGTGTTACCTTGGATTGATCATCTGAAATATACTTTTGCCTTTTTGAACTTTTTATCTTTTACTTTAATAAACCATAAAGACTATTTCTGGTGTGTTTTTTGGTGTCTTAAGCAAGGTGATTTTACCCTGAGGTGCGACACCCTGGGCCTTTTGAAAACATTGGAAATGAGTGTTTGGAGTCCAATGGTGGCTTGAAGGAATGAATGGGAGATGTAGTTTTTGTGGAAATATGCAAACACAGAGCCCTCAGAGAGGAGCAACCCATAGCAGTGGCCCTGGGTCTTTTGAAAACGTTGGAAATGAGTGTTTGGAGTCTAAGGGTGGCTTGAAGTTTATAGCTGCCTCCAGTTTAACCTTCCACCATTGGAGTTTTTTGTGGCAGTATACAAACACACAGCCCTCAGAGAAGAACACACAGCAATGCCCCAGGCCCTTTTCAATACCCTGGAAATATGTGTTTGGGGGCTTGAAGGAATGGGAGATGTAGATTTTGGTGGCAAAATACAAACACACACACAGTTACATACACAATATTTCTTTCTCCTGGCTCGTGGCTCCAAACAAACAACAATACAAACCCTCCCTTTTCCCTTCCCTTCTTCTGTGCTCCTTCCACCCATGCCACACGCCCACACATCCCAAGACCCACACGGCCCAGCCTAACCCCAACAACAACACACAAGAAGCGACAAGGCAGGCAACAACCCCTCTCCCAAAACTTTCCCTTCTCCTCTTCCTGTCCTGCAATTCTTCATCCACCCCAGGCCCACACCAGTGCCAAGGCAACAGCTCCACAACCTCCCCTCTTCCCTCCCTGGCTGGAAATGAGCCTCCCAGCCACGTGCTGCCGAAATCTCTCTCCTCCCCAAAACGTATCCCCTGATTGGCTGGGGGGCAAGCACTTTAGGCTTGACCTCCCAGCAGGCTAGATTGAACCAAAAAAAGGGCAAAGTGGTTCAAAATTGTTAGGGGCTTCTGGCTTCATACAAAGAGCCGGAAGTCCCTTCAGAAAGCTAAAATTTCCAATTTTATTACAACTGCTGCGATATCCGGACAAACCTATCCATCTCTAGTAGATAAAGATGAATATGTTTTCTGGAAATATAATAAAAACAGTCAGAGAGCTACGTTTTTCCTTCCTATGTTGGTTTATGATTAACAACACTTTCATGGGTGAAGGTAATCAGCAGCTTTAACAGTGATTTTTTTACTAAGGTGTTTTACACTATATATATATATAGAGAGAGAGAGAGAGAGAGAGAGAGACATCTCCTAAGGGAAAATGGATTTTCTCACAGAATCTTACCAGCTGCAAGAAAAAATGTCAAAAAAAATAACTGGCTAAACAGCAGACATAAAGAACACATTTGAAACAATACTTCTTTAGAGCTGATGGGAAGTGTGAATATTAGGAAATACAATTTAAACCTCTGGTATGGATATGGATAAACTGCAATCTTGCCTCTATAAAGTGTCCTATGAACATTTTTCTGTACTATGATATTGATTATTGAACTTGAATGTTTATCTTCTAGCATTTTTGTTTGTTTTTGGAAAACCATTTTTTTGAGTCTACTTTGTTTTTGAAAGAAAATTGTTTTTATAATTAATGTTTCTTTCTGCAATGTATATTAATCCTAAAACCAAGCCTGGATCTACACTGCCCTATATCCCAGGATCTGATCCCAGATTATCTGCTTTGAACTGGATTATATGAGTATATATTTATCTGCTTATCCCAGATAATCTGGGATAAGCAGATAAAGCTTGAGATGGTTTTAAACAATTGATTTTAAATTCGATATAAGTGATTTTAAATTTTTTTGGTATATTTATAGTTTATGTCCTGGTGTTGAATGTTTGCTGTATATATGTTGTGCTCCTTTCTAAATCCCCTGTGGGGTGAGAAGGGTGGAATATACATGTTTTAAATAAACAGATAAACTGTGATCGGGTCCTAGGATATAGGGCAATGTAGCTCCAGCCCAAATTAACCAGGCACTGTTTGCTATGGGCCCTTCTAGACAGGCTCAGATCTCAGGTTTTCTGCATCAAACTGGATTATATGAGTCCCTACTGCCAGATAATCTGGGATAAACAGAAAGCCTGGGATCAGATCCTGGGTTATAGGGCCTGTCTGAATGGACCGTATATGTGTTTATGGGTGCAGGTGGGGTTTTTTTACCTCAAAGTAATAGAAGCTTTCATTAGGAAAAAGTCATTGGTATGGATTATGATTCTGTTTCCTGGTTGGTGGTTTTTTCTCTTACAGACTCCATCTCTTCAATTTCATAAGCCTAGCCCTTCATTGCTGCGTGCCCAGAAAGTGGATAGTTTAAGGTGTGAAATTCAGGACAAGCATGAATCTGACTTCCAGGAAGCTCTAGTTACTATTAAAGAGCGAGTTAAAGAAGTTGAAGGCCCTGACATCAAAGAGAGTCTCCAGGACCAGATCCGCCAGTGGTTCATTGAATGCCGGTGAGGAGCTAGATATGTATAAAAGTACATCAACACAATACTAGGAATGTCACTTATTTCCACTGATTCCATTAGATTTTGTGTGCTGCTACATATAGGACAAATGTATAAAGATGTTTCAAGCTAGAGGCCAGAACACTTTTGTTTGTTTTTGTTTTTGTTTTTTGGTCTCATCATTCCCTCCACATATTCATGGTAGCTTTTGCCATGGAAACTCAGATCTGAAAATCCACAGCAATATGTCAATCAATCAAATCATTTATTTCGGTCATTGACCAGCACAGGAAATAGTCACATTTTCATACAAACTTGGTATGTTTGGTACATTAAAAATATAAAAATAACTACTGAAGCACAATATGGGTGAGGGAGCAGGAGGGAAGGGGAAACAGGGTAAAAACATACAATGTCCAGATCCATCACCAAATTGTAGATTCAGAGAAGAAGATTACTGGACACACAGTTAACTTTTGGGACTAGTCATTCCCTGACGGATTTTGTATGCTGCTGCACAGAACTTTGCAACATTGTAGGTTGTAGCTGAATTAATATCTGCAAGTAGCATGGAGGTATAAAATTGTCCTGAATGGCCTGGGTGCTTGTATAACAGAGGTAAGATAAGCCTGGCACGGATATCCCTGTAGAACGGGCACTGAAGGAGCACATGTTCTATTGTTTCTACATGACCGAGTCACAGGGGCAGAGTCTCTCTGGGAAAGGGATCTTCCGGTAGCGGCCTTCGAGTACAGCTGATGGGAGAGCGTGGCATCGAGCCAGGGTAAAAGCCCTACGATGAATGGGAACCTCTAAGTTTGTTAAATATGCCATAGGGGAGGCAAGATATCTGCTGTCTTCATTGATAAGCAATATGTAGATTCCTTTTCTTTTGCTCATCCTTTTGCAAATACTGTTGTTCTGCTCCCCCCCCCCCCCAATTTCACCACTTTCTTTGTCAGTATCTAGTTTGATGTATAAAATACCTAGAATATTTTAAAGAAGGCTTTAGAATGTTTTCAGACAATTTGTATTTGTATTTGTTTTGTGTAATGCTAATTTAGGACAACTGTAACATTAATTTCATGAAAAATCTCTTTGTTGACCTCTAAAACTTGCTTTATTAATGTCTTGTTTTAATTGAAATGGTAAGCCTTTGAGTTGTACTTTCAGGTGTCAGGTCAAGATATTAAATGCTTAATTTATAAAACATACACTTTTCCCCTGCACATAGAAAACAGGCATAATAGATAAACATCCTTCTCATGGACACATATGCAGGTGAGACATTTTATGGAGGATCATTCAATGCGAACTAGCTGTCATACTATGGGGTGAATGTGGTTATTTCTGAAAAGATACTCACTCCATGTGAAATTCTACAGTATATCTCCATAATATTTAATATTATAAAAAGACATTTAAAATCCATTAGCATCTTTAACATGCGTTGTAAGGAGGAATTTTGTCTGGCAAAGTGTTCAAATGTATGCTAAAATTGCTTTTTTCCTGTTAATCTGAAAGGTTCTATTAGATTCCTTTGTCGTATTTTAATGATAACACAGACACCAACATCTGAATTTTTGCTTACTCAGCAACATTGGCCAAGTCACCCTCTCTCAGCCTCAGAGGAAGGCAATGGAAAAACATTGTGAACAAATTTTGCCAAGAAAACCTCATGTTAGTCAGAAACAACTTCAAAAGGCACAGTGAATCCTCAATCTACATGGAAGCTTTTGGGTACAAAATGATGTGACCAGAGACTGTTTTTTGTTGCTATTTACAGAGAACATCTAGCTCCCTTGCTACAATAATTTCACTGGTCAATAGTCCATTTTTAGGAGCTATGCAGAGCTCTGGTTATGATTTATAAAACCCAATACAACTTGGATCCATATTGTCTGAAATACTGTTGTTTCCCTATATAAATTAAACTTAGTTTTGAGACTAGTTTATAAGAACCTTGCAGCTGGTATTCTTTTTCTCAGCACAATGTCTTATGTGTTAAGATGTTCTTTCTTTGTCAAGAATGCAAATAATAACGAGCATTTTCCACATGTCCACCTGGTATTAATATGGACCTATTCTACAGAGTTATTCTCTCTGTTGTGGCAAAATTGGAAGTGAGAAGCATTTTGAACATTTTTATAGTGCTGTGTAAATACAGAAGAGTTATTGCAACAACCAAAGTTGTGATCTTCATGTTGTCGTGTACTAGATTTTAATGTAAAGGAAAGTTTCTTGGTCTTAATTGAAACAACTGCTATGATGAATTCTTCAAAGTAGGTCATCAGTCCCAAATAATTTAACATTATAAAAATTCTGTCATTATATTTCAGACATACAAAGGTTCTGCAGAATACAAACATATCTCAAGAAGGATCTAAGTATAAATTGAGTAAACATGGATTTTTGTAAAAAAAAAAAATGTAGGGATTTGTACACGATAAATGCTGCTGACATCTTAGAGCCTCTGGCAATAATATATTAGTCTGAATTTCACGGCGAGTGTATTGTGTTGTTAAAATGCCTTGGGGACCCCTAAATTGGTTTTGCTAACCTAATAACAAAATATCTAAATAATAACAACTTTCAAGAACACATTATGCAGTTTTCTGACTGATTAATTTTTAGATTTAAATATCTTTTTGGAATAGGTTTAATGGTAAATTGAGTCAGGTCTAATGTCAACACACTTTTTCTAAGAATAATCTAAATGAGGAAAGAGATTGGATGATAGAGATATTTCCCCCTTATTATAAAATATAAAAAATAGCGTTTTTTTAGTGCTTGGATGTCTGTTTCACTCTTCACACTCTTGAAGTATTTTTGTCTCTGAACATAAACTGAACCTTTAGTCAAGGTACTTGAGAACATCAGATTCTATCTATACATTTATATATTTTCAACCAGTTGTTTGTTTCTTCATGGGACATTTCTACAACAAAATGAAAGGTGTACTCTTTCTATATATAATGGCAATAAGATTTATTTAAGTAGTTTTCACTGAATAACTCTCAAATGGGTGAAAGAGTGTTTCCCAATAAGTTTATGTGGCATTCCTCAATTAGAAGATTTGTAATGACAGTCAAGCTTGCCCACCACTATTGATGCACAATAATACACAACATGAAATCTGTACTCAGGCACATCCTTAGTTCATGATGGGGGGTTATGGCTCCATCTACACTACCATATACTGCAATTTCATAATATGGTCTAACTGCATTGAATTGCATTATATGGCAGTATAGACTCATATAATGCAGTTTAGTGCATTTAAACTGCATTATGAAACTATGAAACTGCAGTATGTAGCAGTAAAGCCCAGTAGGTGTGACAATGGTCAGTGTTGTGAAGCACCTGACAGGATCCATTGAAAAGCATTGCAGGTGACCAGAGAAACCATTTCACAAGTACAGCCAGCAGCATCTGTTAAGCCCATATATTCCAATGCATGGAAGTGGCTGGTTAGTCTTCCTATTAGGAAATTATCTTTCCAGCAATAACACTGAGTGAGTTCACATTATCCTGAATAGCTGGGTCAGTACACACACACACACACACACACACACACACACACACAAAACAGCATCAGATACCAAGTTTCCAGCCACCTTAATCACCTTTCATATTTTAAGCAAAGGGAGATACTTTATACCACCCAGAAGTGAAATTGCTAGCTAGTATTCCTTATTGATGAGAGTGGTCACTATCAAAGAGTGGTGGGGAACATACCAGTATGTCTCTCCAGCTCTTGATCTGCAACTCTGATTAGCCTAAACTAGTTTACCCAGTGGTGAAGACTGTAGGTGGTACAGTCCACCAATATCTCAGGAGCCATATACAGTTAGCCCTCAAGTTCTGAACAAGATAGGTTCTGTAGGTTTGTTCTTAAATTAAATTTGTATGTAAGTCAGAACAGGTACATTTTAAGTGTAATTTCAACCATGGATAGATAGATAGATAGATAGATAGATAGATAGATAGATAGATAGATAGATAGATAGCTTTGGATAGCATAGGGAAGAGTTAACACTCCTGTGGTGTTTGCTTTGCTGCCTATGCCCCTGTTCAGAAGATTTCACCTCACTTTCTGTCTGTTTGATAATTGGATTAAAAAAATTGGCTTGTTGTGGAAACTAGAATTGATGATAAAGTTTTCACCATGATAACTCTTTCAGAAATGAATTTCCCTTTCAAAGGGGTAGGTTTCTTTCACGTCCTGTTGCCTCACTCCCTCCCTCCTGCTCCTAACTATGAGTCGTTTGTAAGTCGGTTTGTACCTCAGGGGCTTCCTTTAGTCCATTCTGACTTCTGAATTGGGAAGAACATGCATGCTGAACAGGAACTTCTTAAAAATAAAGTTTAACATAATTTGTGTTTAGTTTGAAACTTAAAACTTGTTATTTCTTTGTTTTTTCTCGGTTTCTTAGAATATAACACTTTTAATAGAATGAGTTTGATTCTAGAAAGAGGATGTAGTATAAATTAAGCCCATGTGCAGTCAAACTATTTTATAGGGTGTTGTTGGATTTACAGGAGACAAGAGACGCCGAGGTAGCTTCTGTGCAATGGCAAACATTGCCACCCTTCGGGTATATTAGAAATGTATGAATTTCCTGACATTAGTGGGGGCTTTGGAGGGGTGAAGGCTTTGGGAAGGATTAACCACAAGCCCCTTCATTCATATATTTTCTATACTTGTTGAAACTCATCATCATCATCTTTATTTATATACCACCCTATCTCCTCAAAGGGACTCAGGGCAATTTCCAACAAAAAATGGCAAACATTCAAAGCCAGAATACTCTAACAAAGAAAAATCAACAACCCCTCCCAAGATCCCAAAAGAATATTCATAACTATAACAAAATTAAAAATGATCACAGATAAACAAAATTAAGTGATAACATAACCAATCAACCCTTTCAAATCCAACATCAAAAAGATAAAGACAAAGATAAATCTCTGTCATGAACTTGGGATCATACAGCCAAATGAAT